GGGGTGCTTTCAGCCACTGCTCTCATACTTCTTTCCAGTCACTTAACTGAAAGATTGCCCCCTTAGATTTCTCACAGAAGGCAGGGAGGTGATAGATACTTTGATAGATATTACTATCAAATTATATTATGGATGGATGGAGGGATGGATGCTGTTTTTAGCAACAGAGTGTCACCAACAGCATCTATGTGTCCAATTAAATCGAAATGGTGCAAAAAGGGAAGCGCCAGGAGTCACTACAACTCCCTGAATTTCCCAGGACTAGGCTTAAGTGCCTTGATGCTTTCAGCACAGCTAATGGGAGGGGCACTGCGAATCTCAGCAACCCAATGCGTTTCACTTATGGTTTGTGGCTAGTCGTGCCATTGCGCTTTAGTTGCTTGGATGATTGGAGGAGGGCGAACCACATGGACTGGGGAACTGGTAAAGAGAACGGGACAGTGCTTGCCTGGAGAATTCTCTGAGCCCTACGCGGCATTTGGAGCTGACTGAAGGTTAGAGCCTTCCAGACCACAAGGACCTGTGTGGCTTTTGGGCGATGCAGGCAGGGGGTGGATGGAGCACTGAAGAAGATGCATTTCTTGAGGCCCTCCTTTAAGTCAGTCTCTCTCTTTTAGCTATTGGCCTTGAAAGTGGTGGGATCAGGACTAATGTTGCTTTTTCACTTTCTTGGACTGGAGGCAGTTCTAGCAGAACTGGGCAATCTGCGGTGGGGGTGTGGAGGAGGAGAAGGGGGCGGGGATGGAGGAGGAGCGTTGGGCAGAAGGAGAGATGGTGGATGGGCTCCCTGAGTGGAATTGGCTACGTTCTGGTGGCACCTGTTTCATAGATAGGAAGAGAGGCATACGAATTAAATAACCAATATCAATAAATGATGCTAGCAGGAGGCAGGTGTTTTGGAAGACACCTTGCATTTGAAACGCTGGAGAGGAATTCCAAGAGGTGCGAAAGTCTCCAGAATACCTGGCTTAACCAACACATTCCTGCTGTCCCAAATCCCAGCCTTTTTGAGCCAATTTTCCATTCCATCCATTCCTATCTGTTCCTGCAGCCCTTTTGCTTTGTCCAATACTGTATTATGCAAAACCTTTTGTGTGTGTGTGTGTGTTGAAATAAAACTCCCCTCCATCTCTTGCCCATTGTTCCTTTCTGTGAGATTTTTTTGGCCTGTCTGTATAAGGAAAGCAATATCTCTCAGTGAGTTGGCTCCCAACATTACAGAGAAGATTTTATCTTGAAAACATCCACCGTTTATGCTGGGAAGGGGGTCACAGACCTGCTTTATGCAGCTATTATTTTAAAGCAGTCCTCCAGATGTGTTGGACTCCAACTCCCAGAATCCTTAGCTGGATGCTTTGTGTGTGTGCATTGTGTGTGTGTGCACCCTTGAGTCAGGTTTTTTTTTTTTTTTTGGACTCCTGGAGACTGCCTGGACATGATTAAGATGGTCTGTTCAGCCACTGATTTGGGGGGATGTGTTTGAGGTTGGAAAAGAGCTAGGATCCCAGTTTATGATGCAATCCAAAAACCTTTGTGCTGTGCTTCCCTCAACCTGGTGCCCTTCAGATGTGTTAATCTTCAACTCCTAGAAGCCCAGCATACTTGAAGAACACCAGACTGGACTCGGCTGCTCTAGGCTACAAACCTTGACCATCTGCTTAGGAGTACAATCAGGAGATAGAATGACTGAAGCTTTGTTTCTGGGTTTTGTTTTTTTTCCTCTTCCAGGGACAGTTGATATTTGAGGATGGGGCTATGTACTTAACAAAGAGCCAGTGGGATCTGCTGGAGTGCAAGCAGAAATAGATGTACAAGGAGGTCATGAAGGAGAATTATGAAAGCGTAGCCTACCTGGTTAAAGAACTGATTCCAGATTATAGGAGGTGGTTAGATTTCACTTGCCTCTGTCTTTGGAAATTTTTTTCACAGTACGTTGAGAGCATGCATTCCTAACAAATATAGGATACAGATCTTAAACAATTCCAGTAAACGGATAAATTTGGACAAAAATGGATCACAAAATAAAGACTTTATTTTAGCTCCTCACCTAAGAATTTGAGAAGGTGTCTCTCGAAGAGCACCTACAGTGGGTACTGGTTCATGGTGCAGAGTTTGGATTCCTTGTTGAATACAAGACTATATTCCAGATTTAAGTTCATTAAATGACCACTCATAGACAATATGAGATGACCTTGCCCTTCGCAAAACATTGCATTGGAGTGTTTTGCCCTGCCCTGCCCTTGCCTTTTAGTGGATCAAGATGTTCCTAATTCTCAAAGGATCCTGCCTCGTGCCTGCCACTTTCCATGACATCCCACTTGCTCGGCCTAGGACTGTGAGAAGGGTAGGTCTCGGGAACATCCTAGGCATTCATCTGGATAGACTTCTCCAGTCATTTCCATTCTCTTCCCTGGGTTTCTAATCAGAAGATCAGAATTGGCTCGGTTCGCGCATATCCTGAGTCAAACCCAAACCCATGATGGATTACAATTTGTGAACTCAGCCATTTGAAAACTGGCTTTATGGTTCAGAGCTGGGCTGTGGCTTATTCAAAACACCAGGGTTAAAATGTAGTGGTTTGCAGATCGAGACAGATAGCTTGGGGGAGGCATTGTTACTACAGTAGTAGCTTCATTGCTCTCTAGATGTTGGAAGCAGAACTTCTGTTGCAGCAAACCTGCTCAGTCTTTGGAGTTCCTCTGGGTGATTTAGAACCCTGGGAACAAGGATTGTAGGGGGCTTGACATATGTAGACCAGTTTACCTCCTGCAGACATGCAAATGATTGACATGCAGGGACTGACAGCCGGGACATAACACACAAAGTGGTTGGTTCACACATCACATTAAGACTGGGCTCTGGTGGTGGGGTTTTGTTTTTTTTTTTGTCTGCGCTCAGTCATTGCTGACCCTGCTTGGACGAGTCCTTGCAGTTTTCAAGGCAGCTGTTTTCGGAAGGGGTTTGCCGGAGCCTCCTTCCTGGGGCAGAGCCCAGCTGGCGAGTGCAGGAGGCAGGGTTTCCGTTGCTTCACGCCCTTTTCGGGCGCGTGCGGTTTTTCGCG